CTTCGCCCGCCCCCACCCCCTTCCCCTCTGATAATCACTAATCCATTCTCTTTGTCCACCTGTTCAAAGAGAATATTTTATCCCATATGATCTGAGCTGTTAACGAACTTTATCAGCTGTTGGTTCCTGCGGCCTCCTGAGTGAAAGATATGTTTTAAAAATGAGAAAAACCTTGGAATGATTTTACTTCAAGGAAGCCGATTGGAATCTTTCCAGATTCCACATTTCTTCCTATTGACCAGAAGTCTTCTGACTTGGGAAAATATTTTTATTTCCCTCCTCCCTTTCTACATGTCCTATGAAGACCTGTATTCGGATGGGAAACATTTTCTGAGTCCCAGGGGAGTCCTCCACTTGCTCGAAAGAGGCAGCGGGACTGAGCGCTGGCAGCGGCCCCTGCAGAGAGGAATATGCCTCCCAACAACGTTTCTGAACATTCTATGCACACTTTCTTCATTCATAGTAACAGTTACCATATGATAGATAAAAGGTGGTTCTAGAGAGCATTATATTATTTTTCTTTCACATACATCATAAAAGACGCAAAAAAGGTCATTTTTAAGAGAAATGCATGGTGCCTAGGATATTTATTTCTTAAAAACTTTCTTTTACTTTACTTCCAGAATTAGATACAGAAATAGCAGAAGCCTCTACATTAGATTGAGATCAATTGTTATTATTCTCTAAGGAAATAAATAAACATAAAGGAAGAGGGGAAAAAAGGCCAGGCCCTGAAATACGAATTTTGCCTTATTTTTTGCTAACATCCCCGTAAGATTAATAGCCTAAAACACATAAATTGGAAAACGAATTCCATCAAGAGAAACTACCGTCTGATGTGCTAATAAGAATTCACATGTGAAAAAAAAAAAAAAAAAAAGAATTCACATGTGAAATAGGTAGTGAATTTTTAAACCAATTTAATCATAAAGGTAGGTGGTGCCTGCTCAGCAGTACTGTCTGTAGTGAAACAGGGAGCTCTTCCCTGGGACAATATTTTGAAAAATACTGTTGTTGTGGAAGTTTGTCCTGGAATTGAGGATGGGACTGCTTCCGGCTTCAAGTCTTGGAGAGAGATAATATCGAATGGACGAAATGAGAAGTGCAGTGTAATGCTTCCATTCAAGGTACACAGTAAGGGCTCATTAAATGCTTGCTCAATAAATGATGAGTAAATGTTGGAGATTGCTACTGGTTGTTTGGGGTCATAAGGCTTGTTATTTGGGACACTCCGGAAGCAATGAGTCTTATTTAATTCCGCAAAGTGTGAGTTTATTTCTTCCTTCCTTCATCCATCTCTTGATGGCTGCAAGGTGTCAGGGTCCATCCTTGGGGCTGGGAATACAACTATGAACATCACAGACATTGCTTTCATAGAGGTGACGTCCTAAAATATGGAGAGCAAAACAAATGAAAACCCTGTAAATCAGTCAGTAACCTCAGGTAGCACAAGTCTTCATGGCTTTGGCTGGTCCTGTCTGCATCGAGGTCAGGACGTGCCTGGTATGAGAAGCAACAAAGAGGGCCTCTCTTGGCAGCTCCTTCCCTGTCCCCTGTCACCTGTCCTCTGTCCAAGGGGCTGATTGGCTCAGCTCTCATCATCTGAAGCTCTCGATTAAAAAACAGGAGTCAGAAGAGGGCTACTGCACTGGAAAAAAACTAGTCAGACTGATAAATGAACCTCTTATGCCTTCTCGTAAAAAATGCTCATTTAGGGGTCGGCCTGCTGGCGCAGTCAATTTCACATGTTTTGCTTCAGTGGCCTGGGGTTCGCTGGTTCAGATCCCGGGTGCAGACCTACCCATCACTTGTCAAGCCATGCTGTGGCAGGCGTCCCACATATAAAGTAGAGGAAGATGGGCAAGGATGTTAGCTCAAGGCCAATCTTCCTCAGCAAAAAGAGGAGGATTGGTGGCAGATATTAGCTCAGGGCTAATCTTCCACCAAAAAAAAAAAAGCTCATTTAGGTGTATTAGGCTTTGGTTTACTTGGCTGCATCTGCCATCAGAATAATCAGATAATGTAAAGTGAATGGGTTTCCTTGAGAACTATGGGTACACGATTGGTTCTACAGAACAGTGATTATCATACAATTCTCCTGTCAGTCCTCTGGGCCCCTCCTCCCCACTCTTTATCAACACCCTCCTCCTTTGTTTTGCCTTATATAATTAAGTAAAAAGCAGAATGTGGAGCCTACATTTTAAACAAGGCTAGCCCACATGGTCCTCCCTTAGCAGACAATTTCTACTTCATCTGTGGCTGTGTGAAAAGGGCGCTATGTCGCTCTAACTTTCCAAGTTAAAGTAGACATAATTCACTTGTTATGTATGAGATCTCCCCACCGTGCAGAGGAGGAGCTGAAGTCTCGTTTCATCTGCTGCCAGGGGTTCTGGTTCAGGCAAGCCCTTAAGCATTATACACATGAGAGAAGTCCCTAACCAAGAGGCTGTTTGACTTCCAGCATCAGATTTTAAACGTCTGGGAAGTTGAATTAGAATTGACACTTATGACTCTGACGCTTGGATGTCATTGCATAGCCCTGTTGGGTCTATTTTCCACGTGAGTCCATTGTTGTCATCTGTTAACCATTATCACCTTTCCTTTGAACCCGCGTGACTGCATCCTGAAGAACAAGGACACAGAATGGAGGCAGTCCACCAGCACCTCGGGACTGCTTATCCCTCGTTACTCTCCTGGGCAGGTGGGTGACAGCAGGAAAGCCAGGAAGCTGCGGAGGAGCAAGCTCAGGTGACCCAATTCCATGCCAGGCAGGTGGAAGAAATGCTGTCAGAGTACCTTTAAGTACATCTCCAGGCCACGTGGCATAGGTGTGGCAGACCAGGAACACCAAGGGCAAGAGACTTCTCAATCAGAAGGGAGGTGGCTCTTGTGGAAGAAAGGTGTTTGGTGGTCTGTAGATTAAAAATCAGGACAGGCTGGCAAGCGTTACAATCAAAAGGTGCGTCCCCAAATTCAAGGAAGGCCTTCCCACAGAGATCACGTGGAAAGAAGCCCTCTGACACTCACTGAAGAGCACTGCTGTCATGTCCCCTAAAATATAACATCCACGTTCTTTGAAGAGACAACAAGATTAATTTTAAGGTTGCACAAAATACTGGTGAATGCATTTGCCTTTTAATCAAAGGTTCTTCTCCTTTCTTGAGTTCTGGGGTTATATGGAGTGTTTGTTATCTATTCTTGCACAAAAAATTATCCCAGCTTTAAACAACAAACTTATCTCACACAGTTTTTGAGGGTCAGGAATCAAGGAGTGATCTGGATGGTTCCATCTCAGGGTCTCTCCTGTGAGGTGCAGTTGAGCTCTGGGCTGGGGGTGTAGTCACAGAATGCTTGGCTGATGGGTCGCTCACACCGCTGCTGGCAGGAGGCCTCAGTTCCTCACCATGTGGGCCTCAAAAGGGCTGCTCACTGTCCTCATGACAAAGCACCTGTCTCCTCCCAGAGCAAGTGACTCAAGAACAAGGCACATGCCACAACGCCTTTTATTATCGATGGTGAAGACACACACTATGGTTTCTACCATATTCTGTTTATTAGAAGAGAGTCACTGAGTCCAGCCCACACTCAAGTGGGGGCGAGAGTTTGGTTCTACCTTTTAGAGGAAGAACTCCTGAAGAATATGACAAATAGAAATGGCAAGCAATAGGATATATTGGAGTATAGAGGAAGCCATTTGGTATAAACCTAATTCGGCCTGACTTTGTTTTTTCCAAAAGGGCCTGACTGTGGCCATTGAGCACACATTGCATATCTGCTTTAAAACATTTCCTATGGCAAGAACCAATGGCCTTAAGATAAAGGTGCAACTTCCCCCCACATTGGCATTTCCTTAAGGATAAGCATCTTTCCTTAGGCTAGGAACTGATTGCTGTGCTCACCTTTGACCACCCAGCTCACCTGTGACCACCCAGCTCGAGGCAGCAGACCTGCCACCCTGCTGTGTTCACCGAGACAGCAGACCTACCTGCTGTTTCCATCAATTGCTGTGCCGACAGAGCAGTCTCGCGACTATTGTAAAATGGACATTTCAATCATATGTGAAACATCCTGTTTGGGGGTATATAACCACTCTGTACACCCCACTTCTTCGGTGCCCTTTCTTCCATTGGGAAGAAAGGCCCTGGGCCATGGTCCTCACATTTTAGCTCAGAATAAACTCTCCCAAATTTTCGTCTATAGATTGGCTATGGATTATTTTCGTTGACAAATTTTAAACTCCTACATATAGTATTCATCTAGGATGTCAGGAAATACAGTATACTCAGGATCAGCTACAAGATTTGTGGGACCTACAGCGAAAGAAAAATGCAGAAACCCTGATGAAGAATTATTGAGAATTTCAAGACAGTGACAGCAGAACATTAAACCAAGTGTGGGGCCCTTCCAGGGGTCAGGCCCTGTGCTACGGCCCCGCTTGCACACCCTGGAAAGGCAGTCCTGAGTATAGTCGTTAAGAGCATGGGCTTTGAAATCGAGAGTTTGAATCCCAGCTTCACTGCTTAATAATCGTGTAACTCTTGGAAAAATTACTTAATCTCTCCGAACCTCAACTTCCATTTTTCTAAAATGGGCATGATTAATTTACCTGCTGCTTAGGATATCTGTGAGCGTTAAATGAAGTAAGCACAGTGCCTGGCTTATATAGACACTTGAAAACACGTAGATAAAATGATTGCCATTTTAAGGAGCTTCAGGGGTGGAGAAGAGAAAAGAGCCACTGAGCTGATAACTCAGACTGATTATTTAACTGACGATCACAAACTCTTAAAAGTAGGATTAGTATCTCATGCTCTCTCCATACCAATATCTCTTTTACCTGGCATGGACTGATACATTCAAGAGTTTGAAAAATGGGGCTTGTAAGCAACGACAAGAATGACTAAGAAGACATGTTTCAGAAATGGCGTGTTTCAGCATTCTCAAAGGTAGGACCAAGGGTACTATTTTAAGAAGATCCACATAAGAAGACCAACGTTTCATTGGCTGTTTTAACACTAGGCATTTATTGGCACTGTAGAGATGGTTGCCATGAACTACTTTCCATTAATAACTCAGCTGATGAGACTGAATAGTAAAGGGGAACTTTCCCATAGCAATATTCTCTTTGAATGGCTCAAAAAACAAACGCAAAAACTGAAACTATTTCTGGGTGAGGTCTTAATACTGGCAGGATGATTTTATAAGACACTTTAGAGCTTCAGGCAGGCTTCCTTTCTCATGCAGCTGAGCCTGGCCCAGTGAAGTCAACAGCAGTGGAATGGAGTTTGTGCAAACCCATGCCTGCGGCTCAGGGCAGCCAAGCCTGGGGCTCCGGCTACCCTGCTCTGGAGGTTCCATTTCACACCGACAACTGGCCTTCTTCAAGAGCGGTCAACTGTTTCCACGTGGACTGCCTTCTACTAAGCTCTTAAGCAAAGCATATTGTTGGGCCAAGACACCCTTGCTCATCTGACAAAAATCATGTGCACCAGCCCATGAAGGGGAGTCCACAGAAGCCAGGAACACAGTACCAGGCTCTGGATTGTGACTGAATGGTGCCTGAAAGAGTTGATGTGGGTTCCAGGGGTGCCTCTCTTGCCTCTTCTAAAGAGATGCTCTCATCACGGACCTGAGTAAGGAAAATAGGAGAGGGGCTGGTTATTTCTCTGCATGAGCAGGTAAACAGGAAACTTTAGGAAAAATAGCGTGCATTGGATTCTTTTCACAAACACCTTAACACCACAGAATAAACAAGCCAGGTATAAGTGTGAGTAGACTTTTTTTCCCTGCTTAACTACAGGCAGTGCTGTGTTCTTAGCAATAGTCCTCTATTTCTCAAGGAACTTTATTTATTCCCCAATCCAAAATTAGTTCCTTAATTTGAAACAGCCATAAACAAACATTGCTAAAGAAATCCCTTGGGCTCTCGTCTCCCACACCCTCTCCCCCTACACACATTTTTTCTGTTGCTTTGTTTGTTCTCAGTTCTTTTGCCTTTGTGCTCAATACAAGGCCCCACAGTGGTTTGGCTTTCTGAAATCCCTTCATAAGACTCTTGAAAGATATGTAAATTCCATTTTGACAAGAGAGAATTAAATTCACGTTAACTTCAATCAATTATGAACTAAATGCAAACAAACTTCAACAACATCAAAGTTTGGATTTTAGTTCTCCACTGGTTTCTAAGGTCGCTTGCAGCTCTCTGACTCTTCTGTCGGCCTGTTCTAGCCACCACTGTACGTGAGTGTAAACAGGGCTTCTGATCTGAGCGGCTGCTCTAGCAAACTTGGAGAGGGGTTCCCCCCTTCTCTTCTAACTCTTCTTGACTCCCAATCTTTGCCACTTCCTCTTCTTTTCCTACCTTTCTTCCTTTGACCTCCCTTCCCCTCCCCGTATCAACAAAGAATTCCATAGCCATGTGGCTTTCCTCTGCAGACTCATCTCAACATCATCTTCAAAAAAGAAATGTGCCGATCATTTGCCTGGTGGCTCTGGCCTTTCCCCTGCTCTGCTCTCTATCATGAAGAAGTGAATTTTCCAGCTTCTTTGCCCTCTGGCTTCCACGTAGGCTGAGACAATAGGAGGCACAGGCAGAAGATTGGGAAGTGGGAGGAAGGGAGAGCCAGAGAGTTTCTCCTCTTTTTTTTCCCCTCCATTTTGAGTGTGTTTCTCTTGCAGTGGCTGCTTCTCCTCCACGACTCCAGCTGCTGTCAGATAGCCCCTCCCTTTGTGGTCTCAGCATCTGCCAAGAATTCTCCCTCGGTGCTCCTGCCTTCTCTCTGATGATCCCATCTTCCAAGCTCTGATAACACCACCTTCTCCCTGAGTCCTTCCAGCCATAGAGGTGGGGGAGGTTAATGGCTCTGACTGTGGTTAATCTTGGGGTCACCTCCACCACCCCTTAACTCCTCAGTTCTGGTTCTTCCATCACATGTATAACAAGTTCCTCTATTAAATTCTCTCTGTTTGAAACACCTACAGTGGTCTCTCTATTTTCAGTTGGGCCCCAACTGAAATAGGGGGCTCAACGTGACAACAATAACAAACAGGAGCTTCTGGGTTGGTGAACACATGGAGGTGCTGGGAGAGTGGCTTGCTCAGTGAAGGCATGGAAGCTCCATGCCCTTTCCACATACCTGGTCCTGTGCATCTCTATGCCTCCATCTGGCTGTTCCTGAGTTATATCCTTTTATAATAAACCAGTATTCTAAAACCTATTTAAGAAATTATAACCTCATCTGAAATTCTCAAAACTCAAGTCTTATAAAGGCTTCATAAGCTGAATCTAGATGACAAGTCCTCAAAAATGGCAGAGCCATAAGACAGAACGCATCTAGGTCCCTAAATCACCACATGGAAGAAGGCAGCCTACTGAACAGCAGCACCATCTTCAAGCTGGCACATGCACAAGAAACAAACTGTTATTGCATTTGTGCCATTATATATTTGGATGGTTATTTGTTACAACAGCTTATACAACTCTGCTAGAGGAGAATATGAGTTGTAGGTGGAGAAGAGAAAACACTCAAGCAATAGCTTAAATCTTAACAGTATAATTTACATAAATGATACTCATATACAAATGAATTGATTTTTGGACTAATGAGGTCAGCGAATTTACACATGGTAATGGAAACTTCTCCGTGTATAACTGAATCAGGCATCATTTAGATTAATGTGTTAGCAGGTCTACCATGTGGAAAAAGAGACACAAAATTCCCAGACATGAGAGTTAATCATCATTTCGATGTAATAAAACAATAAAGATGAAAAAAAACAATTAAAAAAAGAAAACAGTGGGGCCAGCCTGGTGGCATAGTGGTTAAGTTTGCTTGCTCTTCTTCGGCAGCCTGAGGTTCACAGGGTTCAGATCTTGGGCACAGACCTACACACTGCTTATGAAGCCATGCTGTGGCAGGCATCCCACACATAAAATAGTGGAAGATGGGCACAGATGTTAGCTCAGGGCCAGTCTTCCTCAGGAAAAAGAGGAAGATTGGCAGTGAATGTTAACTCAAGGCTAATCTTCCTCACCAAAAAAAAAAGGAAAGAAAGAAAACAGCAACAACAACAAACCACAACAGCAACATCTCAGGTCAACAGTTCTCCAGATTGGAATGCTGCTATGCATGACCTTATTATATGTTCCTTTGGGTTTTTTTACACATAGTAAACCTTATGAAATTAACAGCTGTCAGATTCAATGTCAAAGGTAAATTTGGGGTGCACATGAGTGGTGCACTAGCGAAAGAGATGAAGCATCGTTTTCTCCGTGCACCCAGGGAATCCTGTTGCTTGCACTCTCCTAAACATGGAGAGGAGGATTTTCTGCCCTTACCTGACTAATATGGGCTTTACGGCAAAACGATATGTGAGATCTGAGTGACTTTCTTTCATATTCTGATCCGAGTGGGCATGTCCCATCTGCTTTGCATCACTGCCTCAGGACTCCAGTAATATAGTTTTGGTCATCACTGTGTTCAATAACCTTGCATCTCACCTGACAGCAACACATCTTGTTTATGAATCTGGGAAATATTTGCCGCAGAGCAGTGGTTTGCAACAACACTTTGTGAGTCAAAGTCCTTTTCTGAGAATCCGAGGACTGGTCAGAAACTTCTCTCCAGAGAAATAGATATACGTGCCGTGATTGTGAGTGAGCATGTGCGTGTGTGTGCCTGCACACACACACACACACACGCGCGCGCGCGTGCATACACACACACACACACAAACTTGGCCATAAATCTCAGCAGGCTTGTTGATTCCAGATTAAGACTCCCCCGCCCCCTGCCTCACACATGGTCCTCGGTCATATATTATACTTCCGTCCATATTCAGGATACCCTGGGTATTGCCTCTGTAAGTAACCATAGTTTTATAAATAACGTATTTTCTTCTCATTCTCTTCCTTGCAAATGATGAATTTAACTTCAAAATACAAAATCTTTCAGATGCTGTTTGGAGAGATTCTTCCTTCTTTTGGACTTATCCTGAGACAGATAGTTCCATGTCTTACTTGTGTTAAAAGATTCCTCTATAGTGATATTAAATGTTTCTGCACATGAAACAGTAATTTCCTCCTGCTGTTTTGAGATCTCTCTCTTTCTATTGGCACCACATGAGATGAAGTTCTGTAATTGGGACAGAGATTTATGGAGTGTTATTGTTGAATGTATGTGTACATTGCTTTCCTGTGGTGAAAGACTCATGACACAAGACTTCCGTTTTGGGATTGATCTGGGGCCTAGTGTAACATATACTCTGTAATAAGTCACAGAAGAGCTGCCTATTCGGTCCCTGCTATCCCAAGAGGGTTCCAGGGTGGATAATTTTGCTCATTCTTCTGGCCTTTGCTATGGCTTGTCCGGGGCTGGACTCATGTTCATAACTCTGAGAAGTGCTCAGCTGTGAAATAAGCACTGAAAAGATGAAATGCAATTGATCCTAAGCCACTGTGATCTTTCAGTCCCATGCAAGCAATAAATAAGTATTTAAAGTGGCCCAATAAATCCTTTCGAGTTTAAAAGTTCATAGATTAAAAATATTTATGGGTTGACTTGGGCAGGAAGACTAGGAAAAACATACAAACGGGCTCTGAAGTAGAGAGAGAAACCATTATGGAACATTAGTGATAAGCTGAGCGGAGTCAGCCTAGTGTATCTGTTTCTACAGAAATGAGAATCCTTTAGCATCAAGGCATGAGCGTATATATGAGAAGTAATAGGAGATGTTGGTTCCAAGATTGATTAAAAAGGAAAAATTGGTTTTCTTTTAAACAACTCTAGCTATTTGTTGTATTTGAGCCTATTAGAAGAGACTATTACACTAAAATTCTTGAGGCTTGCTATAAGAGGAAAGGGATAATCCTTCAAATTGAGTGATAAGAACTATGCAAGACCCATGAAAGAAGATACTGGAAACGCTTAGTATTCATTTATTCATTCATTCATTCATGCAACAAGCACTGATTGCTACTATATTCCAGGACCTATGTTAGAACATAGGAATGAGGAAACAAATAAGACATGATTCCGCCCTCAAGATTATCTCAGTGTAGGGAAAGAGACTGATAAACAGGTAATTTGATCAGGGTATGGTATATCCTATGACAGAAGTCGGTGTTATTGGAGCACTGAAGAAGCGCTCTTTTCTTGTTTTGGGGCATCAGGAGATCTTCTCAGAGGAGGTGATGTTTTCCAGAATGAGAAGGTGTTGGCCAGGGGAAAAGGGAGGGAGAGGCATCCCAGTCAGCAGAGACGGCATAAGCAAAGGAAGAGATAGACAGTCTCGAGAGATCAGGAACTGGAATGACTTGGTGCAAAGGGCCTGGGTGGTGCATGGTGGGAGATGGGCTGGAGAGGAAGCACAAGGCATATGCACGCCATACTAACAAGGGAGTATCCTGAAGCCAAAGGCTCTAAGAGTAAGAAGGCAGGGGCAATGAGTGTGGAGAAAAAAGCATGGATCTTTGAGTCAACTATACGGCAGAATAACAACGGAACACCCAGACTGATGGGATTCAGAAGATGACCGCGAGAGAGGAGTCTAGGATGACATTTGCTTCCGGCTTGGGTGACTGGATTGATAGTGGTGCCATTCACCCTGATTAGGAATAAAGGACAGGGA